ACTAGTGTGTCCCATTGTGATCTAGTACTAAGAGCAGAGAAATTATCGCTTAGGATGTCTCACCTAGTTAATGATCCGGAGTTTGTACATTATGTCTTTTATCGAAACCGGTTAATGAATGACACACTTGAATGACAAACGGTAACCGTTGTTCTAATCTTCGTAGTAAGTAATTTGAGCATGATCAAGAAGATCTGTGTAGAAATGTTTGCTTGATGTATAACAGTGTAAACATCAAATTATTAAGAGTAAATCAATCATACCTGTAGTTGTCTACCGACCAGTAAACCAGTACGAATTTTGCACGGGTTCTTTCGTAGACGATGTCTACCTCACTGAACATCATGCTGGAGATCCATCGCAGTATATCAAGAGCAGCTGGAGTAAATGATTCGCAAAAGAGACAATCACAGATAAATCACAGACAGGCCCGTCGTCCTTGGTAGTGATGAATGATAGAAGAGCTCTTTACTTCGCCACAAAGCCTTAATTTTCCGAAAACTTGTGACGTGAAGAAATTTGACGGATTACAACAAAAAGTATTTCCCTCTGAATTCTGTGAATCATAAAAAAAAACTTCTAAATAAGAAATGAACCTTTTTATACTTTTTTGATGCTGAAAAGATATATTTCAAAGTACTTTGATACATTTTCCAATGTGATAGGGGTCCTTCAAGGAATATCTTATCGTCTTTATGTTCATTCTATTTTTGCAAATCTTCAAACATATGACCGGTTTGCACATTGTACATGTGTTCGATTCACACGATACATCAATAATATTTTTTTATAAAAATGTATATAAATTATGTACGAAGTTTTTTTTCAAGCCTTGACGAGAAAATATTTCATAAAATCTTCTGCGAAATGAAGCAAATTTTTTGTGAGTTTTGAAGTAAAGTGAGAACGACAAAATCAAACAGATGGAGCCATTTTATTCTTTCCACTGGCAATACTTCTGATAACAAATCTATAATTAGCATTGATTCTGCTAGTGTTCTCAAAAGTCATTACTATTTAGAGCAGCGCTATAACAAGTTGATGGTGCTATAAGCATGTTAGATGGTCGATGACGCAGTAGTAATGTACTCGACTTTCACCTAGTCGTCCGGGGTTCGATTCTCGAACAGACGTGAACAGGTAAGGGTACACCAGCCTGACCAAGCGGGTTTTCTTAGGGATCTTCGGTTTCCTCGTACAATCAGATCCCGTTCGAGCATTCACCCTGGTCAACCAAGAGTGATTAGTATAAGCTGAAATAAGTTGCTTTACAAATGTTGCAAAGTTTGCATATATACTTTATCAACATGTCTGGGAGGTCATTACAGTTACCATTATCACAAGTTGATGGTGCAATCAGCATGTGTGGGAGGTCATTACTGCCTTAGTTATCACAAGTTGATGGTGCTATTAGCATGTGTGGGAGGTCATTACTGCCTTAGTTATCACCAGGTGATGGTGCTATTAGCATGTGTTGGAGGTCATTACTGCCTTAGTTATCACCAGGTGATGGTGCTATTAGCTTGTATTGGAGGTCATTACTGCCTTAGTTATCACAAGTTGATGGTGCTATTAGCATGTGTTGGAGGTCATTACTGCAATAGATATCACAAGTTGATGGTGGTATTAGCATGTGTGGAAGGTCATTACTGCCTTAGTTATCACAAGTTGATGGTGCTATTAGCATGTGTGGGAGGTCATTACTGCCTTATTTATCACCAGGTGATGGTGCTATTAGCTTGTATTGGAGGTCATTACTGCCTTAGTTATCACAAGTTGATGGTGCTATTAGCATGTGTGGGAGGTCATTACTGCCTTAGTTATCACAAGTTGATGGTGCTATTAGCATGTGTTGGAGGTCATTACTGCCTTAGTTATCACCAGGTGATGGTGCTATTAGCTTGTATTGGAGGTCATTACTGCCTTAGTTATCACAACTTGATGGTGCGATTAGCATGTGTGGGAGGTCATTACTGCAATAGATATCACAAGTTGATGATGCTATTAGCATGTGTGGGAGGTCATTACTGCCTTAGTTATCACAAGTTGATGGTGCTATTAGCATGTGTGGGAGGTCATTACTGCCTTAGTTATCACAAGTTGATGGTGCTATTAGCATGTGTTGGAGGTCATTTCTGCCTTAGTTATCACAAGTTGGTGGTGCTATTAGCATGTGTGGGAGGTCATTACTGCCTTAGTTATCACAAGTTGATGATGCTATTAGCATGTGTGGGAGGTCATTACTGCCTTAGTTATCACAAGTTGATGGTGCTATTAGCATGTGTTGGAGGTCATTACTGCCTTAGTTATCACAAGTTGATGGTGCTATTAGCATGTGTGGGAGGTCATTACTGCCTTAGTTATCACAAGTTGATGGTGCTATTAGCATGTGTGGGAGGTCATTACTGCCTTAGTTATCACCAGGTGATGGTGCTATTAGCATGTGTGGGAGGTCATTACTGCCTTAGTTATCACCAGGTGATGGTGCTATTAGCATGTGTGGGAGGTCATTACTGCCTTAGTTATCACAAGTTGATGGTGCTATTAGCATGTGTTGGAGGTCATTACTGCCTTAGTTATCACAAGTTGATGGTGCTATTAGCATGTGTTGGAGGTCATTACTGCCTTAGTTATCACAAGTTGATGGTGCTATTAGCTTGTATTGGAGGTCATTACTGCCTTAGTTATCACCAGGTGATGGTGCTATTAGCATGTGTGGGAGGTCATTACTGCCTTAGTTATCACAAGTTGATGATGCTATTAGCATGTGTTGGAGGTCATTTCTGCCTTAGTTATCACAAGTTGGTGGTGCTATTAGCATGTGTGGGAGGTCATTACTGCCTTAGTTATCACAAGTTGATGATGCTATTAGCATGTGTGGGAGGTCATTACTGCCTTAGTTATCACAAGTTGATGGTGCTATTAGCATGTGTGGGAGGTCATTACTGCCTTAGTTATCACCAGGTGACGGTGCTATTAGCATGTGTTGGAGGTCATTACTGCCTTAGTTATCACCAGGTGATGGTGCTATTAGCATGTGTGGGAGGTCATTACTGCCTTAGTTATCACCAGGTGACGGTGCTATTAGCATGTGTGGGAGGTCATTACTGCCTTAGTTATCACCAGGTGACGGTGCTATTAGCATGTGTGGGAGGTCATTACTGCCTTAGTCATCACAAGTTGATGGTGCTATTAGCATGTGTTGGAGGTCATTACTGCCTTAGTCATCACAAGTTGATGGTGCTATTAGCACGTGTTGGAGGTCATTACTGCCTTAGTTGTCACCAGGTGATGGTGCTATTAGCTTGTATTGGAGGTCATTACTGCCTTAGTTATCACCAGGTGATGGTGCTATTAGCTTGTATTGGAGGTCATTAATGCCTTAGTTATCACAAGTTGATGATGCTATTAGCTTGTATTGGAGGTCATTACTGCCTTAGTTATCACAAGTTGATGGTGCTATTAGCATGTGTGGGAGGTCATTTCTGCCTTAGTTATCACAAGTTGGTGGTGCTATTATTTTTTGAAGAGCATGACGTCAATCATTTGGTGACATTGCACAGTTTTTCACCTAGTGACAGTTAATTTGTTTTTAAAAACAGCTGGTATTTTACTGCTTTAACATAGTGTTACAAACAACATTACTGGTGATATTTCAGGTGTCCTTACCGGAATTATCGTTATTGTTCTAGAAGGGCAAGCTATCATGAAATATTTTTATGGCTAAAAGGCAGTATTATTTGCTTCAAGAGAAAGCGGTGAAGGCTACATGTTCTTATCGCGACATACACAAGTCCACAGAGTTGATGCCTAATTCTTACAGTTTGACGTTCATCTGTCAAAGTGTTTGAAGTATGGACTGTGTCATGTGTTTGATGTGACCAAACGAGGTGTCATTCTACAGTGTCGCCGGTTTCACATCACAGCTAGTATAATATAAACGTTCACGTGAGGCCTTGTCATTGGTTAAAGCAACCTTCAGATGACCTTGGCTGCTGTGAGGAAGTCAATTCTAACCCGAAATATCTACGCGGAATCCTCACTGACCTAAACGCTAGCGTCTATATGCGTGGGTCTGTGAGGTCACCTGCTTGTGAAATCAACCTGTCACTTATAGGGAAATTAGCAAATAATGACAACATTTGCAGATTTTTAATTAAGTAGTTAATGATTTTAACCTATTTTTTAAATAACACATAATTTGTATTTTTTTTTAACTTTATCTAGTACTTTTGCACTAATTATCTGGTCTCGCGAAATTCTTCGATTTTTTATGGGAACAGGTATATTTAAATGCTGTTTCTAAAGACCACCTACTTGGCTTCATCTTTTCACGTAAAACCCTATAACTATTCAATATTTTGTATTTACAATGACGGCTGTGTTTCTGATTACACTGTATCATAAGACTTTTTCCTTCACATCTGGTAAACAAAGTCTGCACTTCTATACCTTAATAAGCGTAACAGTGTCTAATTGCAGACTGGAAATAGTATTGCAAATTGAATTACCAGTGGAATACACGTTCTAACAAATCAGAACGAGGCGGTACAATGATGTTTTTTATAGTTATGTTACCATTAGGGGAAAGGCCGAGGGCTCTTGGAAGTACAGCGCGTGGTTTCATTCGCTTCGTTGCACCATAACATGTCATTAGGAATTCGTTTATTTCTCTTCTTTTCTTATGCTCAACGATAGCGATCGTGACCCGATCGATAACTATCGATCGATGAAAGCTGTAAAACTTAAGATCGATTGAACTCTGTTGATGGTCTTTCACATTAAAGGTTCGCGCGTGCTTCTTTAGTTTTTTTCACGACATTTTATCGTCAACGACATCCATTGGATCCATGGGAAATCTATAACAGGTTCTAAAACTTAGAAGACTGTGACCTGAGCACAGACTTCCAATTTTAAACAAAACAATGCACAAAAGCAAAAGGGTAGACATTGTGTTAAACTCACTTAGAGACCCAAAACTAACTTCATAGACATACCTTATGTTGTCCTCATTTAGAGACCCAATACTGATCTCAAAGACAGACCTTGTGCTGACCTCATTTAGAGACCCAATACTGACCTCAAAGACAGACCTTATGCTGTCCTCATTTAGAGACCCAATACTGACCTCAAAGACAAACCTTATGCTGTCCTCATTTAGAGACCAAACACTGACCTCAAAGACCGACCTTATCCTGTCCTCATTTAGAGGCCCAATACTGACCTCAAAGACATACCTTATGCTGTCCTCATTTATAGACCAAACACTGACCTCAAAGACAGACCCTATGTTGTTCTCATTTAGAGACCCAATACTGACCTCAAAGACATACCTTATGTTGTCCTCATATAGAGACCCAATACTGATCTCAAAGACAGACCTTGTGCTGACCTCATTTAGAGACCCAATACTGACCTCAAAGACACACCTTATTCTGTCCTCATTTAGAGTCCTAATACTGACCTCAAAGACAGACCTTATGCTGTCCTCATTTAGAGACCCAATACTGACCTCAAAGACAAACCTTATGCTGTCCTCATTTAGAGACCAAACACTGACCTCAAAGACCGACCTTATCCTGTCCGCATTTAGAGGCCCAATACTGACCTCAAAGACATACCTTATGCTGTCCTCATTTATAGACCAAACACTGACCTCAAAGACAGACCCTATGTTGTTCTCATTTAGAGTCCCAATACTGACCTCAAAGACAGACCTTATGCTGTTCTCATTTAGAGACCCAATACTGATCTCAAAGACAGACCTTATGCTGTCCTCATTTAAAGACCCAATACTGACATCAAAGACATACCTTATGCTGTCCTTATTTAGAGACCCAATACTGACCTCAAAGACAGACCTTATGCTGTCCGCATTTAGAGGCCCAATACTGACCTCAAAGACATACCTTATGCTGTCCTCATTTATAGACCAAACACTGACCTCAAAGACAGACCCTATGTTGTTCTCATTTAGAGTCCCAATACTGACCTCAAAGACAGACCTTATGCTGTTCTCATTTAGAGACCCAATACTGATCTCAAAGACAGACCTTATGCTGTCCTCATTTAAAGACCCAATACTGACATCAACGACAGACCTTATGCTGTCCTTATTTAGAGACCCAATACTGACCTCAAAGACAGACCTTATGCTGTCCTCATTGAGAGTCCCAATACTGACCTCAAAGACAGACCTTATGCTGAACTCATTTAGAAATGCGATATTGACCTTCAAACCAGTTACTTGCGTGTTTAATTTTGTAGGTTGGGTTTAATATATTTTCTTGTTGATTGGCAGACATTTGATTTAACGTCCTTTTAAAAGTTCATGAAGATGCAGAGAATAGCATGATATAAAATTAACTGCGTAGGTACACTATTATACTGACCACGGAAAAATTATGTCCTCTGAGGCAAAAAGCAACAAGCAGCAGTGATTAATTAATAATAACGACTCTGATTTGTCCCGGCCTGACGACAAAAATAACAAATAACCTTGCTTGGGCAAACCATTCAATTCCAAAGCCGAAAACAGAACATCGTATTTCAAATACAAAAGCAGCTTTAGGTCGAAGTATTTGAGAGCAAGCAAAAACCAAATCCCCACGACGAAACTAGTTCACATTAGCCGCCTCTAGTCGCCTCTGCCATGTACGAGAATGAAGAGCTAGTATCAGCTATTCTATTCCTTGAAAACAAAAATCAAAAATAGGTACAAATCCCGTAGGATCAATGACCTTTTTTCATTTTTTATTTTTTTAAAAGTCAAATGTTCAGTTCATGTGTAAAGCTACGTAAATGAGGAAAAAAACTGTTCAACTGTCATGTTGTTCTCCTATAATACACAATACTGATCTCTACCAATACTGTAACCACAAGTTCCTGCGATGTGTAATCGTGGCGGGTCTGGGCCGCACGTGAAGATGATGGTTACAATCTTTATACATAAAACGTGATTCTATAAAATCTTCAGATTTACGTGTCGGCCCTTTTACAATCTCTCAAAGCAATGCTGACATATATCTAAGTGTTTATGTATGAAAACAAACATCAGCGATACGATCTACTACTTCACGGAGGCGTTATTCCAACTTCCTTAGATAATTACATTTCGAAACGATACGGTTTCTGTTTCGCATCATGTTGACTCTCTCTTGACATTAGCAATGTATAAGTTTTTTTAAGGAACTTGGCTCGATAAAGTAGGAAGTTACATGTCATTCATTTGTCCTTTTTTATCAAATTTAACAATGTATCTACATAATATATTCAATGGTATTACTGTCTATGGCTACATTTAAGTGTGTTCAGTTTTTGCAGGTCATTATCAGATTAAAAATTCCCCTAAAATTGGGGCGATCACAATTTTGCAGGTCATTCCCCTATAAATTGGGGCGATCACAAAAAATCAGCATAGTTAACAAAAAAAAAACCTGACAGTTGTATAATCATAAGCCTATCAAATAAACAACTTGCCACAAAAAGCAAAAAGAAACTAGTTTTACAAATGCATGCAGTAACACACGTCATCCCAACCGACCTGTGTAACATTGTCACAACTCTTAATTTTGGCCAATCAGATGTCAGGAATTGGCATTCAGTGCGTTTGTATGCGAGACTAAACTTACGAAATCGATCCCTGTCCAATGACACACCCACATACCAAATTTTATTGCATTCAAACAATCTGACCAAACAATGTTGACCAATCATTGGCCAAAAATGACGGTCATTTTGTTGAAATCTGAAACTTAGGTTACGATAATGTTCGTTAGATGGACTTGATGTTAAGTAAGAAAAATAACAAAAACAATAATCACCCTCCGACTTTGCACTGAAATATATATATTATACATCATGTCTGAACCGTATACATTAACTTAATCCCTGTCGCGCGTCTTCCACGCGATGTCGCGGCGGCTGGATCGACCAGTTTATCCCGCGATCCCGCTACGAACCCACCGCGACACCCCTGCGATCCCGCCGCGACTATGGGCGACAGGTCAGCAAATCGGTTGCTTCCGCAAGGCTTGGGAGCAAAATCGCCTTAACTGTACTGTACGTGTATAGTATGATAATGTATACATTGCAGATTCACATTGTATATATCATAATTCCTTATGATCATTTTTTTTTTTTTTTTACTAGCTCAAAATATTTTTATGTTATACATTAACATTGATGGAAATCTTGATACCAATGACAGATAAATGGCTTTAAAAATCTACAGAAAAGAAAAAATTCAAATCTCAAAATAAAGAAATTACTTTACTGAGTGAATTAGGCAGGAAGAAAACCTTGATAGGTTAAAAGTACATGAAGCATATGGAATGAAGATGCCATTGATGAAAGTTTCTCTCCTCGTTAGGGATGTACATGAACCGTGAGATACGAGCGAAAGACAAAAGCCATACTACCATACGTACCGTCCTTGATGAAAGCTGGTGTGCCACGGCGGTATATTTAGGAGGCCACGGTAAAAAACACGTTTCTGTTGCCGAGATCAGTACTACCATTGGTATTTAAGAAAATATGTGCTGTTTCATTATTTGATATTGACGACATAATTAAATATGTTTACTGACGTCATACTTGAACGTATTTACAATTCAATTTTACTGACGTCATACTTGAACGTTTTACATTTCAGTTTTACTGACGTCATACTTGAACGTTTTACATTTCAGTTTTACTGACGTCATACTTGAACGTTTTACATTTCAGTTTTACTGACGTCATACTTGAACGTTTTGCATTTCAGTTTTACTGACGTCATACTTGAACGTTTTACATTTCAGTTTTACTGACGTCATACTTGAACGTTTTACATTTCAGTTTTACTGACGTCATACTTGAACGTGTTTACATTTAAGTTTAACGATCTTGTTGCTTTGCTTTGGATTTCTCTAGTCACTAACGCGAACTAACTCACATATTCACATTTAATATCTGTATTTTAGTGATGTTAGACGATTATTTCAGTATTGCGATCGTTGACGCCATTGAAATTTATAAAGTAATGACGTCATAGGTTTGTTTTTTGTCATGAGCACAGCTTAAACGTTTATTTTGTAAGGTTTGAGTACATTTTTATATAAGTCATGTTCTTCGTGTAATTTGAAAATTACGAACTAAAATAGAACACAAATTTCGTGACTATTATTCGATCGAACTTCTGGACAAAATTTAATATTTCTTATTGTTGTCGACGTTGTTGATGCCGGCGTCGTTGTTGTTGTCGTCGTTGTTGTCGTCGTTGTTGTCGTCGTTGTTGTTTTCATAGTCATCGTTGTTGTTACTATCAATATGAAATCATTAAGAGACTTTAAATGTTGTTATTCATGCTGAAACGGACATCACCTGCTATCGTGACGTCACGCTATTTAGTGTAAAGAACTAATGTATAGTGATATAGTGATAGATACGTATGGGAGATTTTATAATTTTTTGTTATTTAATATTTTTTTCTATTTTATGAAAACATTTAATGTTTTCCTTTTTTATAAAAACGTTTCAGTTTCAGCGTTATTTTCCTTGACTATGCAATACATCAACACATATTCTTACAAGAGAAATATCAAGATAGCCATTGTGTATGTTCTACCTGAAAAACACATCTAGGTGTTACTAATAGCCTTAGACTTAATTCTGAAAAACACAGCTGGATACTTTACAAAGTACCAGAGTGTTAATTGGCAGAGAGCACGTGTTTTGCCTCAGCTGTCAATAAAGAATTTGAAAGATGAAACTAGGATGAAAGTTACAATCGACACTTGTCAGAAAGCACAGACCTGCATTTCTTATCGGAAACACACAACGCGTCCTGTATGTAGCTCGGGAATGAGTTTTTACCTGTTAATGTTCCTGTAGTTAACGTACCACGGCTGTAGTTGGGGAGATTGAGAGGGACGCTGGTCAGTCAGAGAGTGTTAATGGCTTGCCGGTTCCACCTGATTTTATTGTATGAACATACTGACCAGTTTGTATAACCACTTTCGGAATAGATCACCAGTTCTCTATATCCCATCTGACATATTTGAAGCGCGATGTACTATTTCTTTAAGCCTATACTGTTGCTTAATGAGGTATTGATCTACGCTTGAAGTCAGATTCTTGTCATACTTGGAGATGTATTAGCTAATGTATATTTTCATATTCATTTCACCCTCCGTGAAATATATAAACGAGTTATATAAGTGGAACAATTTTTCGCCCCGTATTAATTTCTCCCTCCTTGTTCATGGACGAAGAGGTCAAAAAATTAATCAATGGTGAAAATTTCCAGGTATACAGATCTAGTGTATGATATATCATGTATATTTTTATGGTGAAAATGCATGTATTGACATTCAAATCTGACAGACATCTACCGCACCAGTGTTATTGATTCTCATGCTATGAAACCATTCGTTATTTTCTTACAATATTATTTATACACATCTTCATGTCAAAGATAACAACTGTTCAATTATTCACTGATGAAAAGGTACACGCCTTTGACTTCAGTTGATAGTTTGGTGTTCTGACGTTACGTCTTGTCTGCAATATGTGCATTGTCTTAATGAGTGCACGCAGCATGAAGCCAATGATTCTTTTCGGAATTGTTGATTCTGAAGAAATGATTTCTAGCATTTGGTTCCCCTGTGGGTTTTTGGGGAGCATTAACGTAGATGGTTAGGTTAATTATTCTTTGAAACAGAAGTACTTTTTTCCGTCAATGTGAAACATGCACTTATAATTACGTCACAAAAACAGATGATATAACAACGCCACAGAATCTACTGACGCCTACAACGATGTACCTCGAAGTTATGTGCATTGGTATAATTTCAATGAGATTTTGCGTCACAGCAAATTGTGTACTTCTAAAGACGTCACTTAGATAATTATATACTTTCACTTACAGTTCCAATGACGTCACAACGAAATATGTATACTTCAACTGAATGTTCTTAATTCATATACGTCACAACGAAAAATATATACTACTGACAAATGTTATGATGTCACAATCAAAACTGTCAGAAATAACAAGCGAGATTTTTTTCACGGAATATCGCCCTGCTTCGTTCTGATCATCAAGACATATAAAGCAGCGCAAACACACTTAGTTTAAACTAAACGCTGGGAAATTTATGTGGGAAACACGGATTAAACAATAAATGTAGTGTTTGTTATCGAAATTAGTTATCATTGATGATGATTATTTTTGATGAGTTTCAGTCATCGATTTTGGGCCTCGGTGATATCTGGTCGTTCTTTGGTTTTACCCGCT